AAAAAAATGGATAAAAGCCTTCTGAATGGAATGGAACACAAACGCCATTATCTCTAAAATAATGGTGTTGAGAAGAAGATGTATCCTCCATCTGTCTGGGAGCAGGGTGTAGGAGGAGTTGCACAGCTGTAGAGCCACAACCAGTGTGCACCAGTGAGGGCAGGAGAAGGGGCAGGATCTTGTTTCACTCCCYTCCTTGACCCTTCTGCTTAAAGGGAGTGTGCCCTTACCAACAGAGGGTGTGGTCACTTGCTGCRAGCAGACACAATGCTGACCAGACTTGTGGCACGGCTGGAAACATGGTTTCACCTATCAGAGCAAGTTAAAGAGTGCTGGAAGTTGATTATCTGCTCTGCTCAGGGTGGGACCGTGCTCCTGGGGCATTTACATCCTGTGCCAGCTCCACTGCAGAGTCAACAGAACCTCAAGGCAGCACTGCATGGGACCTTGCTCACGGGGACAGCTCTCCTGGGGTCACCCTCTTTTGGAGACTGAGAGAGTCATCCCTCCAGCTTGTTTCACACCACAGTAYTCCTGAGCATGTTTAATTTACTAGTGCACTTTTGGCCAAAGCCAGCTCTGAACCAGAAATGAATGTAGCTGTACTTAGGCAGTGCTTGAGCCCAAGCTAATAAAACCTGCTGAGGGGCAGGATGTATTAGCTCGGGTTCAGTGCTGTGCTAACATGGCTATATGGCTTCCAGATGGCTCAGAACTTAGTCAGAGCTCTTGCCTGCCAAAGTCCATATATATGCACATCAATATAAATACATATATCCTAAGTTCCCCCTCCTATAAGGACAGTAATGAAGGTGAACTTGCTCCTCATACTTGGCCTTGTAAATACCAGATCCATCAAGAGATTTTATGGTAACAACCCAGAAGCATYCTCCAGAGCACTTGATAGCTACTTTGGTCATGTAAGTGAGGTGACAAGATTTTCTGGGGTCAGCTATGGCAAAAAAGTGATGACATTTAGTATGGTAACAGTGAGGCCAAAACCATGCCAAACACACAGCCAAGTACAGGAAGAAGCCAGGGTGCCCCACAGGCTGTCATGGCTTGAAAGCAAACCAGCCACTCCGTGAGACAGTGAGGATGTGGTCATGCTGCCTTGCTGAAGGTTCAGTAGGAGAAAGGGACCTTGGAAGATCCAGCCCAAAAGGAAGAGAGCCTAAAAAGGGAGCATGTGTTTTAGTTTCTTCCCCATCATCTCTGGAGAAGAACCACCAATCCTCCATGAAGCATGTAGGACTAGGATCCAAACCCCCTTCCAAGGGACACATGTCAGAGGATACCCAAATATATGCTGGAGGGACCCAGGCCCCATTTGGATCAAGGAACCTATTTTTTGGTGGGGTTCCCTTTGTTCTGAGGAAAAAAATACTTGAAGTCAGAGTCAGGGAGCTGAGGTTTCCCGCTGCCTGCCCACCTCAAACAGCAGGAAAGCCCAAAGAAGMCTTCTATGGGACTATGTGGCAGCAGAAATCAACTTAACCAGCTTTGGCTTTTCAAAGTTGCCACCAGTTCGTTCCCTTCTGATGTGCTGGTGGATGGAAAATAACAGAGAGCTGCAGAAATCTAACAAAAGGCACAGAACAGCCTGACTGTGGGGCTACTCAGGATCTTGGATTGGCAGCTGTGTATTGGAAATTGTTCTATTCTGTGGATCACCAGCCTTCATCATTACACGTTATCTCCCTCTCCCATTTTCTGTAAACAGTTCCAGGCTCTCAGCAATGACACAAACTGAAAAAGGATGACTCTCATAGCGTTTATATCCCTTCAGCAAAAGGGATGTCCAGACCGCTGCTAACATCCACTTTAAAAAATGCTAAATGCTAATACAAAGGTGCTGATTCACTAGAACATGTTTTAAGTCTTAGGAGATATATAATATATACACAGGGAAAAGCCTTGTGTGGAACTTTTTGAATTGCTTGGGCATCTGCACTGATTTTATKCTGCATTTCATCCAACACCCATGCACCCATCAGCGTGAAAAAGATCACCTCTCGTTTGAATCACGACAGACAGTTTTGGTGTCAAAAGGAGGGAATCAGCCAAAAGGGGATGCTGCAGGATGTTGAGAATACTATAAAAAAAGGGAATAAAAAAAACCTGATCCTTAATTTACCACAGCCCCAGGGAAACAGTGCATTATATGTTGACAGCTTCCATATGTGTCATGCAAACCTTTATTCTTACTGTTCAAAATAAAATGACCCATTAAGAGAAAAAGTCTACATTTCATGCTAAAATGAGAYGCATGATACCAAAYACTGTCCTAAAGAARAAAGAAAACACATTCCAATGTCATRTGGCTTCTTGTACTTTTTCAGGATTTTCACAGGGGGAAAAAGATAAATTATAACAACCAGACATTTTTCTGAAGATTTGGGGCTTTTTTTCACACTCTTATATTAGTTACAATTTTTTTTGATTCCTTATGTAGGCTTTATTATTATTTGTGCAACATCTTCAGGAATCCAAAGAAATATGTCTACACAAGTAATTGCCTAAAATGTCTCTGAAAGATAAKGGTAAGAATGATTACTTTTGGTGGTAATGATAACAATATAGTAGCACCCTGGAGTCTCAGCAAATATTGGCACTCCATATTGGCTGTGTGAGTAAATCTAAAAATTACTGTGTATTTACRGACTGGATTATCCAGGGCCCCAGTGTAGCACCTGAATACCTCAATCRGGGATCCTCTTACTTAACAGAATCCCATTTAGTTTAATGATCTGTTGCAATAGAAAGGTTAATGGAGCAGGACTTATAAATATCTCTGCAGTTACRGGGTCAGAAGTCCTATACCTCCTGTAAACTCAGCTGACAGCTGGAGGCATGAAGAAATGTGCTTCAGACTGGCGCAGCCTSAAGTTCACTTGAGCCAAGGGAAGGTTTTTCAGTTGATTTGAACCAGTCCCTGAGTTTCACAGAGAACTGGTTGGAGGGAAGGTGGGTGGGGTCCTCTGGGTTACAAACCTAGTCCGCTACATACTGAGTCATATAAAAATTCATGTTCCATCTGTACACAAACGTGTCATTCAACTGCTGGTGTTTCTAATAGCTTCCAGAAGTAACAGCAACCCAATAAAAATAATCAAAGCCTTAAGAGCAAAATTGTAAGAGCATGAAGGGTGATTTTCCTTGTGCWAAGCTGAAGTGGTGTAGCACAGGTTTTCTCTATAGTTTTGAAAACTTTTGTCCCTAGAAGTRGACTCTTTGCTCAAAGGAACTGGAAAAGGGAACAAAAAGTGAGGGAAAAGGCGAATTCTTTCCTCAGTCAAGCAGCAGTATTAAGTCAAATAAGAAAGRTACAAAGGTAATGCTGCTTGTGAAATTTAAAATAGAAAAGTATCCATCGCCATTCTGATCTGGGGAGTAGGACAGTGGAAACATTTATGCGAGCTATTCTTTTACAATTTATTCAGTATATTAACCTAAAGGTCTACTTTTATGCAAAAAACCTTTCTTGTAGTTTACCAAACAGATGCAATTTTTAGGCTAGAACCAACAATTGCTTGTTGTGGAGTTTCTTAATGAATGCCTTTCATGGATATTTAATTTTCAACAGTTTCTCTGCTCAAATATCCTGGGGGAAAAAGAAAAAAAGAARTYAAAGATKGAGTTTATTCTGGAGCAGGAAAGCTGGCCAGAAGCCAACCCACCTAATTTGGATTCCTGATGGAGGTGTCACATCCCCAGAATTGTAAGGGCTTTAAAATGGCCTCACCAAACCAGGCTGCCTAAGAGATCTACTCCCCATGCAGCCCAGGCTTAGCAGTGGTGCCTCTCAAGGCAGGAAAATCGTGATCTACTTTGCACTGCTGCCTCCCCTGTCCAAGGGCTGCACTCTGACAGTGCAGGTAATGTTAGATGGAATGGCCACGTGCTTGGGGGCAAACCTGCCAGCTCTCTTTTCAAGCATCGTGTCCAAAAGAAAGTTTTTGCATAAGTCCTCAGCAGCCAGGGCACTTGCTGAAAAAGTATGAGACACTTTGTTCACAGCCCAGCAGAGCCTGAGGGAAAAYTTAGATCAAAACCAATGAGAAAATGTAGCCAGAACAAAGAAGAAACAAATATTAATCCTTACACCACGGTTTCTTCTGCTACTCATTAAMATTATGTCAGCTAAGGTTTAGATTAACTGGCATCATAGATCCCTTGACCTCTGACATAAAAAGCTTTTTGACAAAAAGAGTTAAATCTGAGTTTGCTTGTAAAGTGGATGGATTAAGTGAACCATCACAGAAAAAACAATATATAAGTCTCTTTTTATTAGTTTCTAAAGAAGTCTAAGTAAAGAACATTTCTTCAAAAAATCTTCAAAAAATCTTGTTTTACATTGAGATGCATTTTCAATTTTAATGACGAGCATAAGTATGAATAATGCAGTAGCCCAGTAAATTTGTACTAAACTCCCACAGCTCAAACTTCAGTTTTTATAGTGGTTTTTCTAAATATCAGCTATGTAAAATCTTCAAGATTTTAAATTTCAAATGCATTTCAAGATTAAAAAAAAATCAGCTTTTTTTTTTTTTTCAAACTACAGAAAATCAATTCTCACATTACCCTATTGGTAACCTTCCCTCAACATCCATATCAACAGATGATACATCTTCTGAATGGCTCTGAGGTTATTTTATAACTTTCTTCATTCTGCAGCTCAGAAAGCTCTGCAAATCTGCCCAGGTTTCCTGAAACCATCAGTGAAAGAATATTAAAATGGAATTTCATTTTGTATGTAGGAGMTCTTCTCCTGAACCCAATTTCACTTGATTTATTTGCTTTTATAATTGACGTATTCTACAGAATTAAGAATGATAGAAAGTTTGCAGATCACAGCAACAGCAGGATAAGATTTGGGTTATTTTCTTATAAACTCAGTGAATTGTCATCCAGTCAAGTGAAAAAACACCCATCCAGAAAAAATTCCTGGCAAGGTACGACGAGCATATATGGCATTACGATGTAAATTTGGATCTTACCATCGCCAGTTTCAGCGCAGAGCTGCAAGCCCAGGTTGTTCTGTGGGTTGATCACCCAGTGATTGCTGGTCACAGTAATGTCAAAGACAAACCAGCCCACATCAGAAGCTTGAGCCTTTCTTGTGTCCAACAGGAACAAGTCTGCATCCCTAAGTTAAAGAAAACAGAGTTAAGGCATTCAAATATTGTTATTTTTGTCTCTAATTTCCTTGCTGATAATAACATCTTGGAGTCCAAATTAATAATCCTTTGACATGTCTAATCATGACACAGKACAGCAAGTGCTGTTGTTGACAAATACTTGTTAAGTATAATACAGGTATTTCCCCTAAGAGGCCTTTCTGAAATGAGTTTCAGCAGTAAAAACTGCATCTCTGTAAAATCTGAAAAATACAGCTTCCGGATATAACTRCACAAAATACATAATTAAAGCTGTGTATAAAAAACCTCATCTTTCAACATTAGAAAGTCTCAGGAAAAGTAACTTCTATAAACCTTTTGGTGTAAAGCACAAAAAATGTCAAAATCACATTCCCATTTCAGCTAAAACTCAGAGGCATAATGTTGCTAAAAAGATCTGTTGTTAATAACATTTGACAGCAGCAGTATCCTATGACAAAACATGAATAGATGGCAGTCCAGACAGTTTCCTATTATTGCAGATGTTTAGAAAATAAGTCTCTATATCAAAGCAGACATTATATATCTATTCAATAATATAATCATTRCATTTTAACCCTCAGTTCCCTGGTATATTCTCAAATTTGTTCCCATGAAATCTCTCAGTAATTCAGAAGGGCTGCTCAGGGGAGTTAGTATAATTGTGTTACTAAATTTTTAGCATGGGTCATTTATTTGTTCTGTTTTCACATATCTCCTGATACAATTGGTTCCAGATCATTATCTGTATTACAAATAATTTACTACAATGACTACACTAAACCCAAGATATTTAACTCCCATCAGTTTCATTTTACATGCTTCTATGAAGCAGCATGCATTATTAAAAACGGTTTTCACCACTTAACCTCTTAAACCTAAATCTATAATTATAGAGACCTATTTCTTTCATKCCATAAATAGCAATCAAAACAGTAAGATACAAGAAAAAGTGTTTTATTCTGATTTTTTAATGTACAARTCAGTTAAAGACAGACTTGGCTCGCACAGATCTGGGAATTCTACTGTTGCCTTACAGACGGAATGAACATGCTTAGAGAGGAAAGACAGACACAAAGAATAGGCTTTGTAYAAAAAAGTGGATTTAAAATTGCTAGTGTCTTGTCACTGCATTCTTACGTTGCTTAATCACAGGACAGCTTAGAAAGTTCTGGTCTCATCTAAACACAGTAAATGCACCTAGGTCTGATACTGAAAAAGCATCAAGTKCATCTTTTGACATCGTGGTTGCTAAATACTGAGGAAAATACGACCAAATKAACTACGACAAGCATATGTTTACTTACATGTGAGCTGTATCTGTGTAATCAGGTTAAAAAGCTCAGAAATTATAAAGGAAGATTATTAAAAAAAATTAATTGAAAGGGCTTTTTTTTCAAGTCACCYTTTTTTCTCTTCCATTAAAGGATAATCTTTTGCTGGGCTCTTCTCACTTCCACTCTAGTAGAACTGTGCTAATGACCACACAAGGAGAAAATATACATTCCCCCTCTGGAGCTAACATGAAGAAAATCTTACAATTCAAAAGAGCCTGACYTACTATGCTAGCACTGAACAAATTAACAGCGTACCACAAGCTCATAAATAGTACTCTCTGGAGTCTTAAATGCCAATGCTTTTCTCTAAAGCAGTTTTATCAGAACTTTAAACCTGAAAAGTTTAATTCTGACTGTAATAGTCTTTGAGATGTTTATTTAGCAATACTTTTTCATCACACAGTAGATTTAATAGAAAACTGTAAAATTGTTTGGAATATAAAATAATACAATGTCACAGTGATATAATTCCACACTTGTCTTTTYTCCTCTTAGAATACATAATTGTTTTCTCATATAGTCTTTCTGTTCCAAACCCAGGACTGATACTAAATGTTCTCAAAAGTCAGGATGCACGATGTGTCACATTCCAAACCAGATTAAGACTCTACTAATAGTACAGTCGAGAAATTCCTATGAAGGACAAATTTCTGCTCAATCTGACTTTATTACTTTGTACTGCAGCAGAAACGCAAATTAAATTTTCTTTGGTATTGATGTGTCAATTTTCTTGTCTGTCTTCCTGCAAGAATAGTGATCTGGACTGATTCTTGAAAACACACAGTAAAATGGCGAAAATATATCTGGACCAACACAAATAATAACATGTTACTACAGAAATTCAAAGTATTTGTCAGTGAAAAAAAACAACTTTCACAATTGATACAAACACAGGGTAAAAGCCTGACCCCYGAGAAGGCAGTGGGATCTCTGGGATCAGGATTTTCCCAATAGCTCATCATTCATTCAAACATTTAATCACATTTTGTGACATTTTTAATTTTAAAATTGTCCTTTATTTTGTGAAAAGAAAAAACAGTCACRCTTAAAATGAAAAGCAGCTGCAAATTTTGGCTGTAATTTTCAGAAATATTTCTATTTTAAAAAATAGCCCACAACACATAATAAAGAACTAAGGCATTATGCAGTAAATAGCCTGAAATGCAACAGTGRATTCATTCAGGCAGAATACAGCTGATTGGCTTTGCCTTTATGAGACTGTTTAAGTTTAGTGATCTCAGTCTGGTCCCCAGTGWCCAGAGTTCTACAGGAGAAATGTTGCCACAGTCAAGAATTTCAGCAAAGAGACTGTGGGMAGAAGGTCTATGAAGCTGCACATCTCCTGGGCCACTTAAGGAAGTAAAGGTGGAATAAACCATCATTAAATGTTCATTATGTATGTCTATTAAAACCTGGAATAGATCTTGATCAGATCAAATGATCACTGTGGTGTAGTAAACCATCCCAGTAATGCTGTTTTACCTCTTTCTCATTCAAAAAACCTGCTTTTGTATCTTACTGCCACTTGAGGRTTCCCTGATGTGGGAAGAGCCCTCAGGGTTTACTTTACAGGCCAGCTGCCACCAAATCATGAACAAAGGTTTGGCATGTTGGGACTATATTTATTTTCATCATGAGAAAAGAGCCRGGTAGGAGGACATTGGCAGGGGCTGCACAGGRAAATCAGCCTGCCATGGGCCRTGCTGTRCTCRCTTCCTTAGCAAATAGAAAAGTTCAATCCCAAAGGCTGGAACTTCAGCAAACTCCTAGGAAATTAAACACACACACTTCAGTAGCCATGCTGCCCTAGAGACAGAAAAACGCCTGAGACTACAGCACAACCCTTGGTATGCAACTTGGAAATACTGAACCCRGGCCACTCCTTGCCTGAAAGCAAAGCAGGATTGTGTTTGGGATTGCAGAGTCCTGTGACACCCATTTTTCCTGCTCAAAGCAAAGAAGGGTGGAGGAGCAATTTTGCTGTGGAATTTCGGTGGTAGCAACTGTGGGACGTTATAGAATCATAGAATCACAGAGTGATTTGGGTTGGAGGCGACCATAAAGATGGGCCACACTAGGACATGTGTCTCAAAGTCCCATCCAGCCTGGCCTTGAAAACTTCCAGAGATGGCACATTCATAATTTATGTGGGCAACATGTTCCAGTGCATTGAAAGCCATTAAAGCATTGTTTAATGGCTTCACAGAGGCAGTTGTCATTTGAACAAGTCAGATAATATTAACTGTTAAACTGTCAGAGTTTTATGTCAGARTTTTGTTTATCAATATTAACAGTTTAATATGGTAAACAGTTTTGCTTTCTCTAAAATAGAATACAAACTTCCTACTGTGCAAATATTAAAAACTGAAAAGAAAGCATCAAATGGATTAGAAAACTAATTTTTCCCATTAGTTCATTAAAAAAAATCTTAGTTCTTAGGTGAAGAGCTTTCACCACCTTAGCCTTGACCTGTGCTCTTTAAAAARATATGTTTTTTTCCTACTTATTTCATTCGTTCCTCTAAGACGTGTCTTTTGGAACCTATGTCAAAAKAATTTTGGTGAAGATCAAGATAGTGGTAAAAAAACCCCAAAAGTCCTGCAYTGTTTTGTTCATCCCCAAATTTACTAAGAAGGCAAATGATATTCTGGAAGGATGAGTGCTTTCTGTCTTGTTGATTCACTTGATATAAAATGAATCCCTGTTTATAGCCATAAAAATTTTATAACTTGATGTTCAGAGATCTCACCTGGGGGATACCAGCTCAAGGCTGTGTGGGCAGAAAAGTGATTTAAATTCTGGCCCAGCCTTCAAGATAACTGCTCATGGGGCATTTTGTCCTCCAGAATACTGTGCAAATTTAAGCTGACATTTTCTTTGGTTCTGCCAAACCTTCCTGGGACAGAAATATTTTATCAGTTCCAAGATGAGGGAAGGGTTTTGTTTTTCTTAAAACAAAACTTTTTTTCCTCCTACTTTTCTGAAAAAAAAAGACTAATTTAATTTCAATCCTACATTTTGAGTCTCTGTAGCTTTTTCAGAAGCATCTTGGAATTTATATTAGTGTTCAATCATAGTTTTCAAGTATTTAGGTACTTTGCCCAGTGAAATCTGCTAATTTACTGAGCTCTTGTAGTGCCTTGGAAACATGTCATACACAGAGCTCTGCAAACTGAAACTCRGGGATTTGCTCATGTGCAACATCATATGTGGCACTTAGGGACATGGTTTGGTGGTGGATTTAGCAGCATTAGGTTTAGGGTTGGACTCAATCTCAGAGATATTTTCCAACCAAAATGATTCTATGATTTGTTTTAATTTTCGTTTATGGTGAGCAGCATGTGTAAAGTGTGCACATGTCATCTCAAGGTTASTGCATGAATTTATCTTTTAATTATATTCTGCAATTGTAAAAGACAAGCAAAAAAGCCACACTTCTTCAAAATTAATCAAAGTTAGATAGTCTTTCTGCCTCTAAGGAACTAAGGTTGAATCTCGGCTTGTAGTACCTGAGTGTCAGCAAATGGTGCATTTGCAAAGTCCAGACACTTTGTGCATGTGACTCTGCCCTTTGCTCACTGAGAGCATGAACCCTCACCTGCTCTGTGCATGGGCGGATTATTTGGTGATCTTGGACATAAACCTGGAATAAATTACATTTAGGATAAGTTTTATTCTTGTTCAATGTTTGCTGTTGTTGCCTAAGGATTAATACTGCACAAGCCACAGCGGTGGAAATGACACCTTGTCAGGTGTACGCTCATGACTGCTCCTGCCTTCCTCCTCAAGACAGGCTTGGGATGGTGTTCAACATGTGATGATTCCGTGCCAAGAGRTACCTGTTGGGATACTCCTTGATGATCTGATAGATGCTAATCTGGATGGTTTCRTTCTCAAAGCGGCTGTTGCTCCGATCTTTGTATATTCGGAATTCGGCTGCTGTCACTGCCTCTCCATGAGGGATCTGAGTGAGGTCAAAGCGAAACTCTTTGTAGTGCCTTCGGTGGTGGGAGAAGTCCTTGTCTCTTTCAACTGTAAGAAAAAGAATTTAATGTAAATTAAAGATGTGAAACAAATGTCCATTCCCCATGATTAATGGAGCATTCCCTCTGCTTGGGGGTAAACAAACATGACAATGTAAAACTGTGCAAATAATAAAACCACAAGCCCAGACATACTTCCAGTTAAAGGAAATTCCACCAGCCCAGTGTCTTCAGTTCAAAAGGAAAAAAACCTCTGTGGCTTTTATATAAATTCCAGAAGCTGGAGTGGAAAGAATATCAAAAAAAGCTGAAAGGGGGCATGCTGTAAAGTAACTAGAAATATGGACAAACTAAAAGCTGTGAAAGGATTTAGGGCTTCAGTGTAGTCATGAGCACAGCAACAGCAATGTCAGAACTATAGATGACTTTGGAAAACACTAATTGCCACTAATAACCAGGCTGATGAGAGGAATGCAGCTCATTTCCTTTTAACATAATAAAAGTGGTACTAAAGTGCACTGCAAAAACTATATACWTAAGAAGCAGTTAAGTCACATAAATTAACACAAGTTGTATTCTAATGGCATGCAAGTAATCTTGCCAGTGGTCAGCAGAAGGAACTGTGGGTCAGGAYCAAGTGGTTCTGGCACCCCAGCAGCATAGGGAGCACAGTTTTGGCTTGAGAAATCCCCTCAAACCTGTTCTGGGTGGGCAGGTGCTGGTTCACTGTTTCTGATGCTGCCACAATTTAAATAAAAAAGTAAATCTCRTTACTGCCTAATTGAGGTTTCTACAGAATTTTAAGAGGCACAAAACAGAGGATTTTAATTTTCAGTTGGTTTAGGCCTAATTCCATTGTTTGCTACAGTTCTGACTCCGAGTTAGGAGTGACTTCTGCAATGGAATATAGGTTTTGATGTGGGAGCGGAAACTACAGCYGTAGTACTGGCTGATGATCACCTTATGGGATTAATACTTCAGATTTTAAGGATGTGGAAAGGAAAATGATGCATGGTTTCCACTTCCACAGAGTACAACGTATCATTGACCTATGAATAAGCTGTTCTCCATGGGAAGACAGAATTTCTCTCTTCTGGAAAATTCTACCTGCCTCATGACATAGGTGCTTTGTTTTACTGATGTACAAAGTCTAAAATTCAGAGCTGGGATTTGGTTTAGATAACCAAGTAAACATTTATGGCTGCACCCAGCTTCCCTGAGTGCTCCCTCCTGAAACTCCAGCTCTTTTATTGCGTTATAGTCCTCATATCTGAGGGAGGAACAATGTCAGTTCCAAAAAAGCACACATTTGGATTACTAAATGCTATATGCATAAATAATATGTACGTTATTATGATATTTATACTTATATGCTCATATATACGTCCCTCCCATTTTTTCTACATACATAATGTGTATAKGTTTGCATGTATACACATATAAGAGTATATATAAACCTGCATATCTGTAGTGTTATAATGTATACGTTGTCTTACAAAATAAAAATGCACCAAAGGGAAAAAAATTCATTTTGAGCTTGCCATATAAGGGTACAGTTATGGACCTATTAAAGTGAGAGCTATTGAAGGAAATGTATTTAACCTAATTTTCAGAGCAGTAGTTACTGGTTAAGTCACCTGTGGTCATGTAGCTAATTCTTTACAGTGTAATTCCATRTCACCTTTTCAAAAATGTGAACTCTCCTTGTCTTCATGAGGTTTTTTTATTTTTTATGTACAAATCTACTTTGCCTTAAGAACCACCAAAAATAAAATGTATAGGCTATAAGAACACTCTATCTTCAGTGAAAATGAACTTTCTCCTGGCTGACAAAAGGAAAATTGTCTGCTAACTGTGAGGATTACTTGGCTCAAGTGCATATTTAGCTTACATAGGTTTGCCATCGAACCCCATGTAGAAAAAGTAAAGCAGAAAAGCAGCAGAAGCATGTAAACTGGCTGCTCTGTACCTGGAGATGAATGGGCTGCTGCTGAAGAGAAACAGGATACASTCTATTTAGCAGCTCCACTGCCCCCTTCTAAACTGTGAGATATATACAGAGAGCTGACTTGAGGTTTGGGAGTTGTTTGCTTTTTTTTTTTTTTGAATACCCATGTAAAGCCTTTCATTTCAGAGGAACTTGGCAGAGATTAGCATATGCAAAAGCACTGAGCCAGGAGGTTTTTTTTCTAGCACAAAGAGTCTGCTGCAAGTTTCTGAGGTTACAACTGAGCATTTCAAAACTGTCATGGAACAGATATGTCAATAAGCTTCAAATGAGAATTATATTTAAGACAGACTCAGTGTAACAACCCTTTCTGCTGTCTCTGGATAGTGTTTATTCAAAAAGTATTTGCCAGCATGCATGGGTAACTAAGCTCTGCTCACTATGAGTAAATATTGAATGATTAAACACTGAATAAAAAGTTTAAATGCCACTACTTCTGGACTGATTGATTGGTTTGAAGCTTCCTTTTGCCTAGCTTCTACCAAGTACTTTCTAATTAGTAACCTCAGTTTGGAAACAGTAGTTGTCTTCCTATATGTTATAGTTTGGGCAGAAATCTCTACAATTCCCCTCAACACCATCAGTGGGGATCTCAGGACCACTCACAACTGCTGAAAGAATACTGATAGCCACTTTCTGGGCTTCAAATTAATTGTTACAACTCACAGAGATAGTACTTATCTGTGTTTCCATGCACAGGAAGATGCATCTCTGTTCAAAATTTCTTTGGTTTGTGACAGCATTTACAGGCAGACCAGGATGTCAAAGTAGCAACAGCCTTCAGAAATGAAGGGTTGTAGGAGACAGGCACTGAACAAAGCCACAAAAAGCCCTGGGTCCAAGGAGGTCCCATTCTCCCCAATGATGCCAGAATCTCTAACTGCAAATTTCTGTCAGCCAATGTACAAACAAAATGCATACAAATGTAGACAAGTTAAAACCTTGCATTATAAAGCAAACTGCAAAAAAGCAGTGATGGTGATGTTGCAATAAWGCCCAATAGTTAGAATGGTAGCCAAGTTAAAAAATGAAATATTATTTAATTATATTGAATATCTTAATACTGAAWATAATACAGAAATCTTGATCCCTTCGACATCTAATAAATCTCTTGTCAGACAGGACTGTGAATGCTCAGTGGGATGTCTCTCAGGTCCTTTGTCCTGCTGAAATGGCATGAAGTGCAGGGAGGCGCCATGTCTCAAATATTTTTATTTCACAGGCCAGAGCTTTTCAACACTGGCAGCCTGAAAAACACAGGTTAAGATTTTCAAGTATTTGGTCCTTTCAGAATGTTCCCATGTCATTCCACTGCTGTTCAGTACTTCTGTCAAAAGGCACCTCTGTGGGACCAATCACAGCATCTAAAAACCAGTTGACCAAAAAATCACTAAGTATTTTTTTAATCATTGGAGAAATACAATTTTTCTAAGGAAAAGTAACTATAATATTCAGGTCGATGCTGATTGCAACCAAATTCTTCCTGTGCTCTCACTGGTCAGGATTCTTAGCACTGACTTTTAAAAATGCTATTCCTATACCACCTGAAACTAATATATGCAGCAGGATGGTTACATCAGAGAAATCATGGCTCAGGGGAATATCACAAACACCTGTGTGTAAGATGGGAAAGAATTATATTTTCCAACCATGTGGCAAACTGATGAAACATTCTCATTGTATTACCACGAAGTCCAACTCTTAGAAGAACAAAGTCAAATTTATATGAAAAAGGTATTTTGGAAAGGGAGTCTTCTTTTACACCAAGTCTTCTTTGACATTATGCACTGATTTCCATTAACAAAAATAATTATTTTATGGAAAGAAAAAACAAAAAAGAAGAACTAAAAAACACCCAAAGTGCTTATATGGATAGTATAACAAGTGATCAGTATTTTAGCTATTCAACTATAAATATCTGTTAATGTTGACAGAGATTAAAAAAGTATTAAAACTGCCAGCAGTGAGTTTAGTTCAGTGCATGAGGAACTATTAGATGTGCTCTTTCATTGGTGATTAGCTCCACACTAATATGCGCTTCACTTTTCCTAAAAATGTTGGTGAGTGGCTGTGACACGGAGGGAAAGTGAAAGCTGAGCTGGAAAATGGGAAACAAACACAAGATATGCTGAAAGATATGTTGGAATAAACTGATTTTACAATATAAGATCCCAGGATCCCAACTGGATTCACACACAGTGAATCAACTAATCAACTTAATGTCACTGTTTAACTACTAMATACATGTGCCAAGGAAATTGGAGGATCCTAGAGACCTGTGTAACTATAAAGGGTCATTTACACTAATCTCACTAAATTTCACTGTTTGACTCGAAATTCTTTGTATAAGTACTAAGTAAACCAGTCAGTTTTAATCACTCCAAGGTGATAAAGGTTACAGTAAGCTGATACACTACAAACGACACTCATTTACATCTTGAATATAATGAAATGATAGTTTATCTACAGTGAACACTTGTGGTTATCTGACCAAAACAGGTCAAAGGTTCCAGGCATTTTCTCCTGAAATTACTCAGTTCTGCCTCTAATGACTGATAATTGAAAGCAGAGACTGGAAATATCAAATGTGGTAGGTGACAGATAAGCAACAGATTAATGCAAGTACTCTGTTACAGGACACTGAAAGGTCAGAGGCCCCAGGAATTAGCTATTGTGCTACTGTGAAAAGACAGACATCAAATAGCTGTTTACCTCATTCTTGCTCTTCTCTCTCTCCTTTACATTCCAGTATCATACATGAGACTGTTTAAAGTGATTCACTTTCCAYAAATTAAGGCAACAAATGTTTTGTAGGGTGTGAGGATAGGAAGGAAGTGATTCTAGAGAAGCATATGGGGTTTAAASCCACAAAAATAAAATAGCTATTCTAGGTGTAAATATTTTAATGAAGTGCATCTGAGAGAGGTTAAGGATATTTATCAGAATGTCATTCTCTGTTGAAGAGACCCGATTACAGATTCTAAAATACATATTTTTATATTGTTAAGCTTTGTAACTTTTTTGGCTTGTAGAGAATGAAT